CCACTTTCCCCACACTCGTAACACTTAGATTTATCAAAGTAGTTTCGCCTTCGGATGAATTCAGCCGCTCTTCCATTGTCGATGGCAATGCTTGCCTTTATCACTCTACCAAACAACTGTTTGTTGTTTATGGCTCTGGTGCAGTTTTGTGCAGAGTCTTTATCCAAAAACAATATAAATGCAACCCCTTTACTCCTCCTCGTATCTTTGTCTTTCATTATAGTAACCTTCACAACTTTGCCATACTTGGAAAATATCCGGTATAAGTCGTTGTTCGTCAGGGAGAAGGGCAAGTTGGACACATACACGGTGCTCTTGCTCGGCGCCAAGCCGCCACTCATTTCTTCGGGCCGGCTGGGGCTCCGGCCCGACTCGCATCCCGCGCCCGGGCGAGAGCGGGAGGTCCGGGCGGCGGCAGAGCGCTCGGCGGCTCCCTTCAATCCAGTGTTTCTAATTTTGACCATTCTAGTGGGTTTCTGTGGAACTTCACTGTGGTTTTAATTTGTATCTATCTACTGAGTAGTGATGATAAGAATCTTTAACTGAGTGTTATTGAACACTTTTATATCTTTTTTGGATGTGGCTGTTCAGATCACTTTTACATTTTCTATTGAGTTAACTTATTATTCAGATGTAGGAGATCTTTATATAACTGAATTGCAAACCCTTTGCCTGATGTATATTTTGCAAGTGTTTTTGTCCAGTTTGTGGTTTGCCTCTTTAGTTAATTATTTCCAGGAGTAAAAGTTGCAAATTTTGATACATAAAATTTTATATTTTAAAATTTATATAGCATATATTTTATGTATTTTATATGTACACTAATAGTCATGCTTTATGTATTATGTTGGTTCATGCTAAAACAATAAAAAATCTTTGCCTGATAAAATGTTTCTTATATTTTCTTCTAGAAGTTTTATAGCTTTAGGTTTTGCCGTATATTAATGTTGAGTTTTGAGTTAGTTTTTATATGTGATATGGAGCAAAGTTCTTTTTTATTTCTTCCATATGGACATGTACTAGTTCCAGCATTATTTGTTGATCATTGTAACACTGAATCACCTTTGTACCTTTTAAAAAAATTAATTGCCTAGGCATGGTGGCACACTCAGGAAGCTGACGGAGGAGGATAGATATGAATTTGAGGGCAGCTGGGGCTACATAATGAGTTCAAGACCACCCCGAACTACATAGCAAGACCCTGTCTCAAAAAAATTGACCAAATATGTATGGCTGTATAAGTGGGCCCTCCATTCTGTTCTGTCAGTATATTTTTCTGTCATGATGCCAATTTCTTAGTCATTCTAACTTTATAATAAGTTCTTCAAATTAAGCAGTGTAAGCCTCACTATTTTGACTTTATGTTTCAAAATGATTTAGGTGGTGCTTTTTTAATTATAATTCTTTGAATCAGCTTGTTAATTTCTACATAATGATTCCTGGAATTTTGGTTGAGATTATATTAAAATATATATTAATATTTGGAAGAATTGAAATTTTAACTATTCTTCCTACTCAGAAGGACAGTGTATTTTATAATTTAATTTCTTCTTTAATTTTTCTGAACCATATTTGTAATTTTAGTACATGGGTCCTTCATGACTTTTTCAGATATGTTTCTAAAAATTTCATGTTTTGATATTTGTAAAAATTTTTTAAAATTTCGATTTCTGGTAGCTCATTCCTACTGTGTATGAATTGATGTACTTTCTTCTATCTTAAGATTTTGCTGTGGCTTAGTAGATCAAGTGCTTTCTTTGTATATTCCATAGGATTTTCTATATCAGACCATGTTGTCTGTGACTTAAGATTGCTTTACCCTTCTTCCCCTGTATGGATAATTTTCATTTCTTTTTTTTCTTTCTGCAGTAGCTATGTCCTCTAGCACAATATCAGCCAAACTTGGATGAGTGGACAATCTTTCTTTGTTTTTGATGTGAGGGAGGAAAGTGTTCAATTTTTACTGTATGCATAATTTTAGCTATAGAATACTCATAGATGCTAACTTGTTCTTTGTTTCTCTTTATCCTACTGTTTATGTGTATTCACTTTGTTCTTTTTGTCTCCTTTTTAATTAGTGGAGTAGTCTTGTATCCCATTAAAATTTTTTTTATTAGTACACGTTTGCAGTATATAATGGTTACATTCCTTGTGGGGAGTTGGCACATGTACATTATTTACTTTATTATCAACCATCAAATAAATATAATTCCTATTGTGCCTTCTTGGCCAGAAGGAACCTGTAGAGGAGAAAAAGAAAAGGCATTGTACCATATAAGAAGATATGTTATGATGTCATGATAGTATCTTAAGAAATAAGTAGGTCATCTGAACAGAAGAGAGAGCTACAAAAGAGACCATATAAAGTGACTTAATTTACTAAAAAGTTGGTACGGAAAGCATCAGGGCTGGGTGTGTAGCTCAGCAGCATAGTGCCTGCCTGGCAAGCACAAGGTCATGAGTTTGATTCCTGGTGCAAAAAAAAGGAAGCAGAGCTTGGTCTCCAGAGCCCTCAAGGTGCTGCCAGGGCCAGGAGTAGTTTCTGGGGGAAAAGAGAAAAGAAGGGGAAATTATGTACATATGTACACACAGGATAGCTAACATAGTTGTTTCTTAGAAACAACTTAGAAACAACTAAGAAACATAGTTGTTTCTTAGAAACTTCATAGAAGTTGTTACTTCTATCACTTTAATGAAAGGAACAGTTAATGATTAATTATTTGATCAGTCTTGCATGTCTATATTTGTTTTTCTGAGAAACCACTTTGAAGATATTAAAATGTAATACAACAACCATTGTTAATTTCCTATTACCTTGTCTGTAATTCAGTGTTGCTTATATTGTTCTTATGCTATTTTGTAAATGGATGTCTGTTTGTTAATATGGTTTCATTCTTTTATTTTTAAAATAAATAAAACAAAGAGAGCATCAGGGAAAGCATAGTCTTTCAATAATAGTGCAGAGACAAATGAGCATTCATGTAGGAAAAGGGAAATTTGATTCTGTATCATATGATACACAAAAATCCAGGTGAATTGTACACTTTATTGTGATAGGCAAAACAACAAACATTTTAGAAATTAATAGTAGAGATTATTTTCATTGTATGAGAGCTGGAAGAGATTGGAAGAGATTTTAACAGGCACATTACGAGAGGAAAGTCACAAAGCTAAAAAATATCAGTAGGAACCAATGCAACATTAGTAAGTAGTAGCCAGGTAGATGCAAATAAAAACCACACACACAAAAAAACCACACACAAATCACGTTGGCAAAATGAAAAAACTCTAACAATGCCACAGTTAGAAAATCTCATGCGTAGTTGGTGATGTGAAAATTTGTAAAGCTTCTTTGTGAAACACTTAGCTTTGTCAACTAAAGTTTCAGATGCACAATATTATGATCCAGAAATTCCAATCCTAGGCATATGTGTAACAAAAATTGGGAATATATGCATACCAGGATGCACGAAAAACCCATTCATTATGAAGAGCCCTCACTTAGAAACAATCCAAATATCAATGGCAGAATGAGTACACAAAATAAACCAGAATTTATTGTGGTGTGCACAAATAATAGAATATGATAAGGAAAATATTTTGTTTATTTTTAAAATCAGGTTTCCTGGAATTCTTTGTATACCATATGTGTTAATCAGATATCTGTCATTACTACAGGCTACTTATGAAGTAGAGAAGTTTACTTAGCTCACAGTTTTGGGGATTCTGAATCTAAGATCAGGTAGTCCTGTTGGTTTGGGCTCTGGTGTGGGTGATAGATGCATCATTACAGGAGTGCACGTAGGAGCAAATGGTCACAGAACCAGGAGCTGAAAGAAGAGACCAGGATTCTATGATCCCCTCAAGGGTAAAAACCCAATAACCTCAGGACTCCCCATTAGGCTCCATCTAGTAAAGGTCTCCTCACCTCCTAATAGTGCCACGTTAGGAGTTAAGCTTTTCACTTAGGACATTTGGGAAATAACCAACATTCAAATCATGGCACCCTGTGGTGATATTTATTAATTATATGCTTAACATTGTATTAAAAAAGAAGGGAGCAATAATCAGCAAGCTGATTCAGTGTTGGAAAGTGATTTTGATAAAGTCAGAAAATTCTTACTTTATAAAGCTCACATAGTGGTACTACTGACTTTTATTGCTGTATTGAAAGGTATAGTTAATATTGAAGTGTAGGATCAATCTTACAAGTCTATATTTGTTTATCTGAGTATCCAAATTGAAGAAATCAATATGTAATACAACAACCATTGTTAATTTCCTATCACCTTGTCTGAAATTCTGTATCGCTTGTATTATTTTTGTGTTATTTTCTAAATATATATGTATTTGTTAATATGTTTTCATTCTTTTATCTTTAAAATAAAAAATATCATGCTATATTATAAAAAGTGAATAAATCAGGTGTGGTGGCACATGTCTACAATCTCAGCACTCAGGAAAGCCAAGGCAAGAGGAGCACAAATTTGAACCCAGCCTGGGCAACATAGTGAGACTCTGTTTCAAAATTAAAAAATATAGAAAAGGGATTAGGGCAGTAGCTCAGTACAAAGACCCTCGGTTTGATCCCTAGTTGCGCACGCGTGCGCATGCACACACACACACCCCCCATACAAAAAGGAAAGAAAGAAAGAAGGAAAGAAAAGAAAGGAAAAAATGAGTGTGTAGCATGATTTCAACTTGGAAACAAGACCAAAGGGAAGTACACTTACATGAGTTAAATGTAAATAGTGGTTATCTCTGGGATGATATTTATTTACACAAGGGTCTATTTCCTTCCATCAGAATCAATACGGACATTCATTTTAAAAAATATACCAATAAGGTAGTTAGTATACAACTTTTCAAAAATAGATAAAAGAAACCAAGTCTTTATTTATTTTACCTGGACAGTCTTATAGAACCAGAGCAGTGAAGTGCACAGAACCTAAAAATATAGGAGCTGATTTTACAGCAGGGATCACAAGACTAGAATTTCAGAGGACAGAGCGAAGGCAACATGACCCTCTGACTGTGCAGGATTTTGCTGAAGACCTTTGCCAGTTTCTCTAGTAACAATATTATTGTTTTGCCTGATAATCATTCTGTGCCTGCCAATGGCATTGTTCCTCAGTGACAGCAGGTGATAAAAGGGAGCTACAAGATACATAGTAACGTGGGAAACACTTTCTCTTGCCACAGGAAGAGCAGAGGCTTCCTCCCTGAATCTTGAGTGTTTCTTTAGCCATGCCTCTGCAGAGAAACAGGGTTTACATTCAACTTATTTTTTATTTTAGTGGTTGCTTGTTGGTCTTATTTATTTTTTACTGCTATTCAGGTTTCATAAATAGAACGATGAGACGAAGGGTTCTTAGGTGTTGGGTCTGATGATCTTTGAGGGGTGTGATAAGCTATACAGCAAGAAGTGTTACCTGTGCCCCCTTCCCCGCC